TCACATCATGAGGATGGATCTGTGTAATAGGGAAACGATGACATGCATCAACTAAGGTGACCAACCGATCCTGTTAAGTGCCTCCTATTGAGGCATCTGGTGTGCTGAAAACTGATTCTAACCCGATCTTCACGGGGAACAAGCATAGGTTTCTCAAGACCCAATCTAACCAAGATCTTCATGGGAAAAGAGCATAGGTTTCTCAAGACCCAATCTAACCCAGATCTTCATGGGGAACAAGCATAGGTTTCTCAAGACCAATCTAACCCAGATCTTCACGGGGAACAAGCATAGGTTTCTCAAGACCCAATCTAACCAAGATCTTCATGGGAAAAGAGCATAGGTTTCTCAAGACCCAATCTAATCCAGATCTTCATGGGGAACAAGCATAGGTTTCTCAAGACCAATCTAACCCAGATCTTCACGGGGAACAAGCATAGGTTTCTCAAGACCCAATCTAACCCAGATCTTAACGGGGAACAAGCATAGGTTTCTCAAGACCCAATCTAACCCAGATCTTCATGGGGAACAAGCATAGGTTTCTCAAGACCCAATCTAACCCAATCTTCACGGGGAACAAGCATAGGTTTCTCAAGACCCAATCTAACCCAGATTTTCACGGGGAACAAGCATAGGTTTCTCAAGACCCAATCTAACCCAGATCTTCATGGGGAACAAGCATAGGTTTCTTAAGACCCAATCTAACCCTCGTTTGGCAGTGACCGTACAGTAACAGACTGAATTGTTTGTAAAACATGAAGCATGCCTGGTTTGGTAGTGACCGTACAGTAGCAGACTGAATTGTTTGTAAAACATGAAGCATGCCTCGTTTGGCAGTGACCATACAGTAACAGACTGAATTGTTAGTAAAACATGAAGCATGCCTCGTTTGGCAGTGACCATACAGTAACAGACTGAATTGTTTGTAAAACATGAAGCATGCCTCGTTTGGCAGTGACCATACAGTAACAGGTATCACCAGGGAACAGCATAAAAAACATCTACAAAACAATAATTGTCTTAATCGTCATAAAGCAGGAATCTATCCTCCTTATCTACCATCCGTCCTCTTCTTAAAATGTCTGCAACAATTACACTCTGATAAGAGCTGTCAAATCATTTAACCCAAGCAAAAGGAAAATCAAGCCATGTCTGCAAGTCCAGGCTGAAAAAATCCAATAAAGTAAATTTATACCTAGTTCCCACAGTGAGAATCTGTGCTGGTCTCAGTGTCCAATAAATCATGTTGCTGTCGCCATATTTGATCAAAGACGGAAAATAAACGAAAACGATTTCCTTCAAACTTAATAAATCTCATACGCAGTTAAATCAAGCAATAATTTGTCAGGGAAACAAATAAATTCTACTTTCATATCTTGAATTAGAAACCTCGATAGAGAGGGTTAATGCACAAGACAGTAAATAATTAGAAGATGTAATAATATTTTCCCTTTTCTTGACATAAACAAGCAGTTTAGTTACCTCAACAGAAGTTAGTATAACGAGATTTGTTTAAATTCCCATCTTTCTCGTGTCATAAATCTGATAAAATACACGGAACTGAACCAACATCCCAAGTCACTGCAATAACAAACATACTCTCAACATTCCTTGGAGGCCGGGTAGTCCAGTGGTTGAAGTGTTAGCCTGTCAGGCTGAACAGTTGGTTCAAATCCCAACTGACTGCAATGAGCTTCTCATATACCCTCCACAGTAATATAATATTTGAATATTGCCAAATAATTGTAAAATGTTACTCCAAATCCTTGTTTGTAACAGGTAAACTTCTCAATACATTCCTACATGTGAGGAATATAATGTCACCAGCAGGTACCCAACAGACTAATGTGTATTGGGGGGTAACAATGTGCTCACTTGCGCCCGCCCAGATGCCTCCCGCCCTCACCTCACCACCTCACCCACTCACTCACTCACTCACTCGTACAGCTGGGCGCAGATCCTGTTCATCTATTTCATCTTGTGAGTACCAGAAAGACGACAAACTTTAATCAGTAAAATATAAAATATTGATTCTGCGTGATATAAGCTTGGCAAATCTGTTCACCTGACACACAATATAAAAATGCTTTAAATAAATAGTTTCAGCGTCAGACCATTGATGGATGGCAGCCCGTGCACCATAATGTCTGCTCAATGGACCCTGCAGTTCATCTATCATGTCCTGTTTAGAATATGTATTTGGTATGAGTTATATATAAACACCACGATCGCACAGCTTCATATGTTGATTACAAGTGGTATGATTGATATACATATATTTTGTTAGTTTGCCAAAACAACACCTGTTGGTGGGAATGTTCATCAGGCTATGGGAGCCCCAACCCGAGGCAAAGACACAAGTGAGTCTCCGTTATTCACATCATGGTTGAGTGGTTTACTCCTCATAAACAAAATTACGATCTTTTTTTTTAATTAACAATCATCAAAAGGAAATATTCAGTCATGATGTACTGTTGTGAGGCAATGTCATGTTGGCTCCATGATATATACTGTCGTGAGGCAATGTCATGTCACACCATCATGATATATACTGTCATAAGGCAATGTCATGTTGGCGTCATGATATATACTGTCGTGAGGCAATGTCATGTCACACCATCATGATATATACTGTCATAAGGCAACGTCATGTTAGCATCATGACATACTGTCGTGAGGCAATGTCATGTTACAATGGTGTGAAACAATGCTATGATACATTAATTGTCATGATACAAATGTCATGTTCCAGTGTAATGATACGATGTCATGGCGCAATGTCATAAAGAATTACTCCTCCCGACTCATTGACCTATTTTCAATCAGAGGTCACATCAATAACCAATACATGGATAATGCTCCCTCTTGTATCCACCAAACCCCCATGGGATAGATTCATCAGAATTAGTTTCAACATTCCCTTTCAAGCCTAATGACACGACAGGCAAAAACAAAAAACTTTTACCAAATAGTGTGAAAAAATGTATATTGTTTTTCATTTTGATCACCGTATCCAATGAGCTGAATGTCTGCTCAATATGACCTGATTACCGTACTCTCCATATCATACCGTGCGTGCGTGCATGCATGTGTGTGCGCGATTTTAAAGTGCTAGCCCACTGAGATACCATGTCGCAGTTGAACATGAATACCCCAGTCAGATACAGTGTACTGACTGTAAGCCAACCAGTTTTGGCCCCTTAATGCTGAGCGCCAGACAGGGTAGCAACAAGTACTATCTCTTAATATCTTTTGGCATCAGGGATCAAACCCGAGACCTTCCGATCTCTGGATGGAAAGTGTAATGTGGCAGTGACTATATATAAGTGGGAAAACGCACGCCTCTTTCATCACACATTACATCTCTCATTACATCAAGACCAGCGGTTGTGTGAAGATCATTATTTTCATCCTGGGACTATTTTTTAAGCTTGACCATTGCTGCTAGGTGAATATTATTATGTTATTATACTGCCATTGAATTTGGTACTGCCATTGTCATTGCTGTGCAGTAATTTGTATTTATTTGTAAACCTAGTTATTTCATAATACAATTGTTAATAGTATACCATTTGTGGGTTGTTTGTTGGTTTCACACTGAATTCTTTTACATGTAGATGTATGGGATAAATGTTTCAATTTGGAAGTCAACACGTAACAAAAGTAAGAGATGGTTGGTGATGTTGCGGCATGAAGCTGCATAGGAAGACGCTATATCATGGCTGTCATGTCGATGTGACTAGTCTGTCACCGGAACACAACATCATAAAAGCCGACACACTGAAACTCATGTAAATACACCTAGAATAGAACATGTTGTGTCAATTTGGAAGTTTCATGAAACAATACAACAGTTCACGTCCAGATTATGTAAATGCTATGTAAATGTATCGTAATGAATCTTAAACTGAAGTCAAACTTTCACCCCAAACAAAACTACTACATGTTAATCAAACAGGCAGGGACAGACATGGCTACTAGTCTACTAGTCTGAGACTCGTGAAGATGTTTTCTCACAAAATCTAGTTACTTTACAATAACCCTTAAATTGTCTACCATTGTTTAAGGTCCTGTTTATCATAAAATAGGAAAAAATATTTTGATATTTTTTAAGTGCTGCACAACCCCAATAGATATAAGTTTGCGTGCTGAGTTTCATGCCAATATTCCAGCTATATGACGGCGGTCTGTAAATAATCAAGTCTGGACCAGACAATCCACGCAATTGGGATACGATGAGATGCATCAACTAAGTCAGCAAGCCTGACCGATCCCGTTAGTTGCCTCTTACAAAAAGCATTGTCACCTCTATACAGAGTACAGAAGTACCCAGCTTTCAGGGATATGGAGTGACAATAGCTCAAATATACTGAACAAAATAAGTTAGGGGTCATGAAACAAAAAAGTTAGGGATCATGAAATATTTTATATACCATACACATATAAAGCTACAAAAAAATATTCCCCAAAATATTAATGATCACTAACTTTTTTTGTTCAGTATACATTTGAGCTGAACAGCTGAGGACTCGGTATCGTGTGCAGATCCTGCGAACACAACCCAGGTAGATGTCCACAACCCAGGTAGATGTCCACAACCCAGGTAGATGTCCACAACCCAGGTAGATGTCCACAACCCAGGGAGATGTCCACAACCCAGGTAGATGTCCACAACCCAGGTAGATGTCCACAACCCAGGTAGATGTCCACAACCCAGGTAGATGTCCACAACCCAGGTAGATGTCCACAACCCAGGGAGATGTCCACAACCCAGGTAGATGTCCACAACCCAGGTAGATGTCCACAACCCAGGTAGATGTCCACAACCCAGGTAGATGTCCACAACCCAGGTAGATGTCCACAACCCAGGTAGATGTCCACAACCCAGGGAGATGTCCACAACCCAGGTAGATGTCCACAACCCAGGGAGATGTCCACAACCCAGGGAGATGGTGGTGTAAAAACTAAAACTACAAAAACAATTTGATGACAGCACTTACTTTTGGAAACGTTCCTCCTTCACTTAATCCAAACTCCTTGAAGCGCCCAGCAAGGGCATGCTCCATTTTAACAACCTTGGCCTTGACCTCTGGGGAGTCTGGGTCGTGACCTGTTCTGACCCCACTCCCTGACCTCCGGTCACGTGATGAAGGTAACTGAAACAAAAATAGTTACAAATTCATAAAGCAATCATAACAAATTCAATATCATAATTACCCTTTGAAGATCACAGGGACAAATGTAATATCAATAATGAATCATATTGACTAGTTTCCATTTGCAGATCCTGAAGCATACAGAATTTGAAACAATCCCGTTCTCAGCTCCAGGATTCCATTCTCATCTGCTTCTCAACTCTAACATCTCATTCTCAGCTCTAGCATCCCATTCTCAGCTCTAGCGTCCCATCCTCAGCTCTAGCGTCCCATTCTCAGCTCTAGCGTCCCATTCTCAGCTCTAGCGTCCCATTCTCAGCTCTAGCGTCCTCAGCTCTAGCGTCCCATTCTCACCTTTAGCGTCCCATTCTCACCTCTAGCGTCCTCAGCTCTAGCGTCCCATTCTCAGCTCTAGCGTCCCATTCTCAGCTCTAGCCTCAGCTCTAGCGTCCCATTCTCAGCTCTAGCATCCCATTCTCAGCTCTAGCATCCCATTCTCAGCTCTAGCATCCCATTCTCAGCTCTAGCGTCCCATTCTCAGCTCTAGCGTCCCATTCTCAGCTCTAGCATCCCATTCTCAGCTCTAGCATCCCATTCTCAGCTCTAGCGTCCCATTCTCAGCTCTAGCATCCCATTCTCAGCTCTAGCATCCCATTCTCAGCTCTAGCATCCCATTCTCAGCTCTAGCGTCCCATTCTCAGCTCTAGCATCCCATTCTCAGCTCTGGCATCCCATTCTCAGCTCTAGCATCCCATTCTCAGCTCTAACATCCCATTCTCAGCTCTAGCATCCCATTCTCAGCTCTAGCGTCCTCAGCTCTAGCGTCCCATTCTCAGCTCTAGCATCCCATTCTCAGCTCTAACATCCCATTCTCAGCTCTAGCGTCCTCAGCTCTAGCGTCCTCAGCTCTAGCGTCCTCAGCTCTAGCGTCCCATTCTCAGCTCTAGCGTCCCATTCTCAGCTCTAGCATCCCATTCTCAGCTCTAGCGTCCCATTCTCAGCTATAGCATCCCATTTTCATCTCTAGTATCGCATTCTTATGAGAGTGAGTGAAGTTTTATAAGACACCAACAATACACTTCACATATTGCATCCATCCATGAATGGGAATCAAACCCAATATTCAGCATGACAAGCAAATGACTTAATGAATACTTGAACAAGAGGGCTACCCAACACCAACATGCCTGCATAAGAAATTCCTACGAAGGACAGTGCTTTCTTACTTAGCACAGCTGCATGAACTACAAACATATATTTCTCACTACTGCTGCTAGTCGTAGTGTCTGATGATCATTTGATGACATAAATATAATGAACTATCTCCAAATCCTAGAGGAATATGTTAACCTCACTCATAAGCATTCACATACAGAAGGACTCTCTTCCATTGCCAGTTCCAGACAGTCATTGTCTCAGTAATCAGGGTGATTGTCAACAGAGTAGTATAAATCTAAAACTGGATGTGACAAACAGGTTATTGAATGACATTATAAGATAAACTATAGATTCTTTTCCATTTTAACTATTTTTTATTCAATTCAGTATATGATGTTAATTTTTTTCACATAAAGTAACATGACATTAACTTTAAACTTATTAGGTGTAGGCTACATACGTAGACAGCAGACAGCAAGTTATAGTTGTCAGGAGACAGGTGTACAATATCATGTCAACAGGTGGTGACACTGGCAGGCTGTTTGCCTTGCTTATTGAGGTCATCAATAACTATGTATGAAGGTAAGTCCTCACAGAGCATCAGTGGGAATTGTTCATGATCAAAATAGAGAGACATATTAACTGGACAGTTTATTTGCCAAATGTTTCCATTTTCTGTCAAACTGTCCTATATCTTGTTTTCACGGCACAGATTCATATTGTTTCAGTGTTATTTTACATATCACAGACTTGCCTACAAGGTCTTTCATCACATATTGTTTAGGTTTTTTCAAAAAATATTTCCTGTACTGCAATGTGATGTTGGAACAAATTAATTATGTGAATGGCTGCCATGTAGAGAAATATAGCATTAGGCGTGTCCCTTCAGTATGAAAGAAAAATATTTCTACATTTTCATAGTTGTTTTATGGCACATATAGTTTCTACTGTGCAGTACAGTGTGTGTGTGTGTGCGTGCGTGCGTGCGTGCGTGCATGCATGCGTGCATGAGTGTGTGTGTGTGAGTGAGTGAGTGAGTAAATAGCTGGATGAGTGAGTAGCTGAGTGATTGAATAAGTGAGTGAGTGAAAGAGTGAGTGAGTGAAAGAGTGAGTGAGTGAAAGAGTGAGTGAGTGAAAGAGTGAGTGAGTGAAAGAGTGAGTGAGTGAAAGAGTGAGTGAGTGAGTGAATAAGTGAGTTTGTTCACATGTTGGTACCACATAGAAGAAGTCCTGTCTATGGGTGATAAAATTATGGAAATTTCCTGATGTCAATTGTCTCTCAAATGCACTGCCACTATGTAAAATCTTACAAAAACTATGCAATATTAAGCAAAACAAATCCAGTTCAAGATCTGATGATTTCTCTACTGCATAAAAATCTCTCCGAGCATAGAAATGTTTTGCTTGCATGATCCCCATATTTTGTCTAAAAACTGTTCCTAAGTGTGGAGACAGCCCACTGCTTATTGACAATGGCTGTGTTCTCAGCAACCCTACCTCCATACCCTAGCAATCTCAAGCCATCAACCACATATACAAAACCTTGCAAGTATCAATATCCAGCAGTTTATTTATGTGAGAATGCAATTACATTGTCAATGTGCTGTGGAAAATGCACCAATGACATAATAATAAACAAGGTCGCCTCTGGAAATGTTCTCCGCCTGCCCAGGTGTCGAGGGAAAGGAAAAAGTGGATCTCACATAAAACGGAAACTGGATTCAATTACCGTTGCTATAAAGGTTTCCCCGATGTCTGTGCGTCCGTGTAGAAAAGTCGAACTTGATATGCTTATAGTTTCAGTTCAACTGAAAATTGTGAATTTATTTCGAAAGTAGTGTTTCATTGGAAACCCATAAGTCATGAGTAGTCATGTAAGATTCAATATGCCTTCTGGGGTTAAATGAAACTTCAGTCTGTATTCACTGCATTCACAAACAGCACTGACACCTTGTACAAGATAATCTAGATTTAGTGGAAGCAATTAATGTAATTAGATTTTCCATAATCATGGAATGAGTGAGTGAGTTGGGTTTAACGCCGCTTTTAACAGTATTCCAGTTATACCACGGCGTGTCAGCTTAATGTGGGAGGAAAGTCCAAAGTGATGAAGGTCTCAGATGTTACCACTTCTGTGAAACCCACGAGCACGGGTATGGTGCTGACAAACCTAGAAACATAATCAGGGCGAACCTCGATTCAAACCCACAATGATAGGTTTCTGGCATGCCTAAGGGACTCTGCATAGCGAATCGCGGCGCCTTAGACCACTGGACCACCCGTGCCCCCTAATCATGGAGTGAGTGAGTGAGTGAGTGAGTGAGTGAGTGAGTGAGTGAAAGAATGAGTAAAAAGAGAATAGCTGGGTGAGTGAGTGAAGGGCTGAGTGAATAAGTGAGTGAGTGAAAGAGAGTAAAAGAGTGAGGGAAGGAGTGAGTAGCTGGGTGAGTGAGTGAGTGAGTGGGTGGCTGCCCCATCAGAAATTCTATAAATTTGTAAATGTATAAAGACAAAATGCCAATTTTGTGAAATGGATACAACACTGATATACACATTTCATAACAGAAATGGCTTCTTTATACTGGGACTGTGTTTACATTGCAAATGTTTGACACTGATGTAAACTGACAGCAGAATATTGTCCTTTGAAGATATCTAGAATGTGAGATTTGTATCCCTATAAACTCATGGCCTTTGTTGCAGGAGGAAGTAGTGTTGTATTTGATAAATGAAATTACAAGATCTGCAAGGGCAACCCGATGATCAGATGCATGTTTAGGTTGGAGGGAAATAACAGCGTTGTCATTGACTACAAGTCTAGAATGCCCAGTCTCTCTATCAAATACAAAATATCACCCCATTAAAAACTGGCTCATGATTGCCGACAAAAATAGCATTACTGCACTTCACTTCACAGCCAGGAAAAAATACTGACATAAATAGTTTAAAAAAAAACACACCAGTAATTCTATCTGTAATAATTTTCACATTATCACTAGATCTCCAAGAGACATAATGCATTGACATTTATATAAACTTTGATTTCCAGTGACAAGTCCTATAAAATACTGAGCATGTTAAATAGTAGAATAGAAACCCGCATGACTGACCCACTGACGTATGTCACTACAAGGTGGTGACACACTCACCTATTTCGCTGGCACCTGCTGTTATTGATTAGAGTGTGCTCATATATATATACTACAATCTTATCCCATTTTTAGACCTTTCAATACATCTTTGCAGTGATATCAAAATGTTCAGAAACTGTTGTCTTCATGACAAATATCTCCAGGCAGTTTACAGATGGTATGAACAAGAAGATGAAATGCCTGAAACTTGTGAACATCACGTGAGTGTAGTGCTCAGTGAACTGTGTCCCACCGGACAGATCGATGGAAGACAGCATGGCACACTGTTCCTCACTCGGGACAAGGGGTTTACATTACAAATACAGAAACAGCCAGGAATGAAGACATCCAGAACGTTACACTTGGTTGCTCTGATGATCAATGATGGTGTACGGCCATCACATGTCCTTTTGGCTGAGGGAGCAGATACTGTCTCCCTACAGACTATGTCTACTGTCTTCCTACAGACTATGTCTACTGTCTTCCTACAGACTATGTCCGCTGTCTTCCTACAGACTATGTCTACTGTCTCCCTACAGACTATGTCTACTGTCTTCCTACAGACTATGTCTACTGTCTCCCTACAGACTGTGTCTACTGTCTTCCTACAGACTGTGTCTACTGTCTTCCTACAGACTATGTCTACTGTCTCCCTACAGACTGTGTCTACTGTCTTCCTACAGACTATGTCTACTGTCTCCCTACAGAC